AATAACCTGCCTACTATTTTTCCATCCAACCCCATCTTAAGCCCGAAAACCGACCGCTGTGACTCATCTTTCCCATTACCCCCTACACCTCCTCCTCTGTGTCCTCTCTACTTAAACCCTAAACCCTACGAAACGGGCAAGTCGCTCTAGCCTAAATCCTAGCATAACCTAACTAACTGCCCCAGAGGTTGAAGCTCTATGACTAGCCTTCAACTATTACTGTCTTACTTATAGCTTTTAAACACCTCTTCAATACCTCAAACCCTCGTTACTTCTTATTTGAACCCTCTATCTCTCAAAGCAGTGGAAAGGAAGCGTCAAGCCTGCTAATGTTGCTATCTTCCCTTGGAGCAAAACCTTCTTTTTTAAATTTTCCGTTAGGTCCTTGGCTTGCATTGGGTTTTGCTGGGCCTGCTTGCGGATTCCCTTCCATTGTGCCCGGATGTCCGTTTCCACTAGATTGTAGAGCGTCTCCTTCGCTTCTTGCTTGTGCATTTGCTTGTTTTCGATGGCCTGCTGGCACCTGCGTTTCCATATCGTTCATAGTACGCATTGCCTTATAATCTGGAAGGTGCGCTTCTGGTACCGAGGCCCAACCGCCGGAGGGTCACTTCCTATCAGAAGCGACTCCTCGCCCTGGGGGAAGGGGGAGTATGTAATTTTGGTCCAGAGTGACTTGGCCACGTCCCATAGATATACTGCTTCTGGGCAAGAGAGGAGACAGTGACGCAGGGTCTCCGGTACTCCTTCCGTGCATTGTGTGCACTGTTGACTGGAGGGATCACCGTGGTGCTGACTGCGACGCTCAAAGAGCCATGAGTTGACCGGGACTGCCACGTGGAGGATCAATCACTGCAAACTCCTTACCTTGCTTAAGCGGATCTGATGTAGGGATGACCATGGTAATCTTGCCACTTTTTCCTTCGGCACCTGCATTCTCTTCTCCCATCTAAGTGCCAAGGGTTCAGCTAATGGCGATGAGCGCTTCCTGAGTCTGTAGCCAGCTTGGTTGTATAGTGCAGTATGTTGGTTCTTCTCGTCGTGCCTAGTGAGCCCCCCCTAAGGTTCCAGGCCCACTCCGCTGGGTGAACCTCCAAGTTCTGAATATCCGTTGTTGGAGCAAAGAGTATGGACCCCTCCGTCTCGATCACCCTCACTTTCCTCAACTGGTCCTTTTTTATTGTGATCTGGGTGGCCGTATCCTTGTCCAATTGACTTGTATAGGCTCCTGGGGATTGGATTGTGTACATCTGTGCGCTCAGCCATTCTGCTCCCGGTCCCACCTGTCCTCCAATTCTAAATGCTTTCGTTGGAGCATCCTTATTGCCCCAAACTGCCCACTCTCCGCAGTCCCAATGCCGCGGCCTCCAGAGTAACCTAACCCAACCTTCCGGGATTAAAGACAAGATCTCACTCAGATTCTCCGCAAGCCTGTGGCTCCCCTTCAACACCTGCCTTAGCTCTCAAGCCGTCTTCCACTGCTGTTTGTCTTTCGACCAGAGGTGTTTGACCTGCCAGATGTCGTGCTCCAGCCAGGTTTCCCAGTGTCTTTCGTCGTAAGAATGCGCAGTTTCCCCTGCTCGTCCTTAACCCATGGATTGCAAACGAGGGGTTGCCTCAGGATTTCTTCCCTCGTGCTTGGTTCCTTGACTTTCGCTGGGAAAATTTCCGTCCAACTTTTCAACAACTGAACCCAATATGACCCTCCCCTAGGGTCTCCTTCTTCTGTTCCTGCCTCGTTTCCACTCCTTCCTTTCCTTGCCCAACTCTTACTCAATAACCAGAAGGTTCCTTCAATGTTGGAGGGGGTTTTGTACTTGGTTTGTTTCCTGATGTGCTCCATAGCTAGAGGGATCCAAGGTAGCTGCGGGTGCGTGATCAGTTTCAAGATCCATTTCGTTTGGAGTGCCTTGAGTTGCTGTTCCGGATCCAGTATGTCCAGACCCCCTTGTTCCTTGGATTTAATGACATGCCACCATGCCACCTTGGAGATAAAATGTTGCTTATTTGGATTCGATGTCCACAGGAATAACGCTGATTTTCTCCTTAGTTCTCTCATTGCCTGGACTGGGGGAGTCCATATCGTGCCAGCGTACCACATCATGGAGAACACTGAGGTGTTAAGAATGAGGGCACGTCCAAATACGGATGTGTAGACCTGGGACCACGCACTGATCCTTGTTAGCATTTTTGCCAGGAGTTCCGGTGCCATCGAGTGGTGTGGGCCTGAGTCCGCCAATCTAATCCCTAGATACCGCAAGGGCTCCGCAGTTGAGACCCAACTCATCCCCAGCGCAGTTCACTGGGTGGAGGTACCCCTCTTTTGTCCCTTATACCAGCCACCAACCCATTGTCTTGGGCCAATTGATTCTCATTTTTGATGCTAGCTGGACGGCACTCATTGCCCTTGTGAGCGCTTCAAAGGAGGAGTCTGAGGCCCGTATTAGAACTGTCAAGTCATCTGCGAAGAGTATGGTTGTGTGGAGCTTGATGGTTCTACCTTGCTGGTCTGGTTTTGCTACTAACCTGTCTATCGAGGGGTCCTTCCTGTCTATCGAGGGGTCCTTCCTTAGGRAGGAAGCTATCGCTTCCATGATAAAGAGGAAGATAGGAGCAGCTAGAGGATCGCCTTGTCGAATTGACCTTGACATCCTATACCTCTCTGACAGGTGTCCATTTACCCGGACCTCTCCGTGGGCGTCATTATAGAGAACCCTTATCCATTTTTGAAAGTTGGGGCCCACTCCCATTCTTTCCATACATTGCTGACGTAAATTCCAATTTACCTGGTCGTACGCTTTTTCAAAGTCAAAAACTAAGACAGTTGCATTGATTCTTTTTTCTCTGATGTATCTTACCGACTCCGAAAGCGTCGTTACATTATCGAGGATAAAGCGTCCCGGGATAAATCCCGTGTGGTCTAAATGAAAGCAGCCCCTGGTCACCTTACTCAGTCTGCTGGCTAGGGCCTTTGCTACTATTTTGTCTGTTAGTGTCAATAACGTGATAGGTCTGTAGTTTTTTATGTCTTTTGGATCTCCCTTCTTGTACAGCAACGTGACTATGCCTGTGGCCGGGTCTACTCTCAGACTCTCCTCCTGCCAAGATTTATTCAGGTAGTGCTCGTACTCCCCCCCCAAAATTGGCCAGAATTCCATCTAGAACTCCCTTGTACGCCCATCCTTTCCTGGTGTTTTGTTTGGAGACATCGTCTTAAGGTCTGCCCATAGTTCTTCCTGTGAGAGAGGAGCATCTAGCTTCAGCGCTTGCTCTCCATTTATCGTACGCTCCAAGTAGGTGAGGAACTTGGTTCTTGCTTCCGCAGTTCGTTGGGACGGTTGTTCTGACTCCCTTGACGTGTAGAGCGCACTATAGAAGTCGTATGCCACCAAGACCAAATCCTTCGCTTCTGAGACCACTCCCTGAGGGTCTTCGAGCTGCTCAATTAATGTATTCCTTCCCCTCATTTTGATCGTCTGGAATAATTGCTTTGTCATATGTTCTCCCTCTTCCCATTCTCTGACTCTTGCTCGCATTTGCACTCCCCGCAACCTCCATTTCTCCCAATCTCCCAGCTCGCTCCTTGTCGTGTCGAGTAATTTTTCATAGAAATCCTGGCCTGGGTTATAGATCAGATTCTGCTCGGCTATGCGGAGCGCTTGCTGGAGTTCTTGTTCTCGTGCGTTCCTTTTCGCCGCTAGCTGTCTGGCTACCCCCGCTGCCGTTGAGGACATGGAAGAGAGTAGGTCTGGAAAAGATTGGTTCTCTTAACTATGGGCCATGCATGCCTGTGAAATAGCCTGCCTAAAATCTTTTGTCTGTAATAATGAATTATTAATTTTGAAAAAACTCCGTCCCCTACTTATCCGTTTGTCTGTGATAAGGTTCAGGAGGATAGGTTTGTGATCAAGACCGCCAAAGTATGACAAATCTCCTATTCCTACAGAATGAAGCATGCCTATTAGATTTTGTGATTTTAAATAATAATCTATTCTAGAAGCAGAGATGTGTTGGCTTCTGTTTCTCTTGCAAAAGGTAAACTGTCGTTGTTCTGGATAATGGAGTCTATATGGATCGATGAGGTCCCATTTGGTCATCATGTCGTGGATGGGGAGTGATTCATCCCCTGCCGAGTTCTCTCCCCCCCTCCATCCTGACATCCTGTCACGCGCTGGCTCGAGGGTGGCTTCCAATCTCCTACTAGTATAATGTGTCTTGCTGGTTCCATCCGCGTCTGTAGCTCTTCCAACATGACCGATCGTGATTGACCCGTATTTGGACAACATAGTGAGAACAATGTAAACGCCTCATCCTAAAAAGTAAAGTTGATCTTGACCCACCTGCCCCCAACTGTGTCTGTTTGCACCTCTTGGATAAGAATCTTGTTTGCTGCCTGAGGGTGCTTGTTGAGGAGGACTACCACCCCTGCCGAGTGAGAACGTCCTGCTACTGCCCAGTATCCTGCTTTGACTCCTCCTAGCCTTTCCATAATCCTGGTTTGAATTTGTTGATGTTCCAGGGATGTTGGAAGGTGGGTCTCCTCAATGCACAAGAAATTTGGAGGGTTGCTGCCGAACCAGTCTGTATATTTCAGAACGTTGCCCCATTTCTCCTGAGTCTCGAGAATCTGCACCATACCGTTGACGTTCCACGATACCACCCTTAGTTAAGGTTCCGGCCTCTTGACCCTCAGGGTAAGTCTCAGACGTTTCCTTGGCCTCACTTCCTCTGCCTCCTCCATTGAGGTAAGACGTCACTGTAGCCTCCCCTCCCTTCGTATTTGCCAATTCAAGAGCCCGCCAGGCCCAGTTCAATTCTTGTTGCCACCTGTGCTATCTTTTCCTCTGTGTCTTTTGGCTTCCATGCGAAGGCTTCAACTTTTACTGCTATCATTGCGCTCCTTGCCACCCATTCTGCTGCTTTCGATCCCCCCAGTAACCCGTAGGGGATGGTCTCCACCACCTGCCAAGGCATCCAGACCAGGCCCTCACCGAGTTTCGCTGTGCTGTGCAGCTTTATCATGATTGGTCTGAAGTCCACTTTCTGCGTGGCCCCTGCTGAGTCCGTTCAGTCTTCTCTGTCATCCTCCAGATTCCCCACTACATAGGCTCGGGTTGGGATGTCTTCTGTTAGCAGCTTCCTCAGTGTTTCCCTTGAGGAGTTGCTGTCTTCTGTTGTGATGAGCGGTAGTGAACGATGGATCGCCACTTCCCAATTGGAGTTCCCCTCGTTCCATCTGTAGGGAAGGAGGACTCTCTTTCCTAGGCTGTTTTTTGCATGGAGCTTGGCTGCTGCGTGGATGTCCGTGTGCGGGGCGTATGCTATCTTCTGCAGGTTGGTTGTGTCCTCTTCCAGCTCCCTCTTTTGCTCTTTGAGGATGCCGATTTGAGCCTCGAGTATTACTGCTTGCCTCTTCTCCTCCTCCATTTGATCCTCTTCGGTTGAGGCGAGTCTCTGTTCCACTGATTCTCCTTCCGAGAGAGCAGAGTCCTGGCGTTCTTGACTAACCTGATCAGTCCCTTCCTGCTGCATCTTCCGTTTCCTTTCAGATCTCTTCCACCCCTGCGGCTGGTACATTTTGGGCCAGACAAACTGCTTGGTGTACCCCGCATTTTGCACCGTGATATCATTTTTGTGTTGTTGGGCTTTCCATCTGTACTGAGAGGCGTAGAACTCGTTCAGCTCCTGTTCCCTTCTCAGAATCTCAGACCGATTTGTGGAAGCGGTGCCTACCTCCGTTGCTGTCGCCTGTTTCAAATTACGTAGGTGCTTGTGGTGTGCCAGGTGGATTTCACATTCAATGTGTCGTTCCCATCGCAAGTTGTGAACAGTCTGGATCCACTTGATCAGGGTGTCCGGCTCCTCTTCTTCCTCTTCCTCCTCCTCCTCCCAATCTTCATCGTCTGAGTCTCCCTTCATTTCCTTCTCTTGTCCTTGTGTTGACGTTGCTTCCCCTTGGGTAGCCGGGTTGGAGGCCGATGAGGCTTCCATGGAAGTGTTGAGATCGTTGCTGGCTTGTTGCGAAATATCCATCGCCTCACCTGACTGGCTAGGATTGCCCGCCCCCTCCTCCTCTATCTCCATCCCCTGAATTTGTCCTGCTTTCCCCTGAGACGAGCCTGATTTGGCACCCATTTCTGTGGATTAGCGCTTGGACTCTTGTTTGGAGTGTTCGCTTTGAGCCGAGTCCCCAGATTCCACCTTCCTTTTTAGTGAACCAGTTGAATTGTTCTCCATGCTGTTTCCTCCCCCTGTTTTACTTCCTTCCCCTTCGCAATCCATGTTCTCCCCTTGGTTGCTAGAGGACGTTTCCTTTTGTCCTTGTTCTCTCGCTCTTCTGTTTTCCAGAAAAGTTGATTCTGCTGTGTGGCCCAACTTGTGGAGTTCCTCCATCAACTGCAGTCGCTGCTTATCGTCCATAATCGTGGATTCATCAATCATAGGTTTCGTCAGATAGCCAATGTCCTTCTCTTCCATCCTCTTGGCCCCCTTCTGGCGCCACCTGCTGTTGTACGGCGGGTATATGTCTGGCTTTACAGTGGGTACCCCCTATAGCACCCATACGGTCCATACCCACCGGGGGGTGTCCAGATTGTCATCAAAGATCCATCCCTAGTATTGCGCCAGGTTAATGAACCATACTCCTAGCTTGTTACCCGATTCCACCAACATTGATTGCCACAGCTGTATCGGCTTACTCCCTGCTCCGGACTGCGGGCAATTCATGCCCAGGTGCCCTCTCTCACGACACTTGAAACAGAAGGGATTAGTCTTGGTTGAAACGTAGATCGTGATCCTTTGTCCGTTCTTGTGAAAAATCCATACCTCTGGAAATTTCGGGGGAGCCCCCGACTGCACCTCCAAGCAGGCCACTCTCGAGTCATGGTTAGGTGCCAAAAAATCAGGATTACCCGGCAACCAGTCGATGATGGGGTTATTAGGGTTCTCCTCCGATAGGCACTTTTGCACGAAACTGTGCATACCCTCTGAGAGGTTGTCGAACTGGACCCAAAAATTGTCCCTCATCATTGTCTGCCTGTGACGGGAGGCCTCGGCTTGGGGCGGTCTTGGAGGTTTCCATGCCTGAATGGTAACTACCGAACCGTGGCACTCCAATGATCCCAAAGATAATAGGAACTGAACATAAGTTGGATCTATGCAGACAATCATCACAGTGAATTTGCAGTGGTAGGAGACCTCAGGTTCCATACCCGGTACATTTTCCAAACCTCTTAGCCGTTCCATAACCCACCTCCTCTTCTCATTTTGAGAGAGATCCCGGTTCTTCCCCGAGAAATTAAACAGCACTGTGTGACGCTCGTACAGATCATTCAGCGAAGGTATGTCCTGTTCCGGATATTCCTAGACATCCACCAGTTCCTCCTTGCCCTCCTGTCCTTTCAATGTTTCCTTTGTGATTTTGATGGGCACCGTTATTTTAGTTTTCTCCATTAGAAATTCAATGGCCGTTAGACCCAGTGCCTTCGGTTGCGTGCAAGTGATTCCGATCTGAGATGCTTCCTGCGTTGTCCCTTTCCCTTGCTGACTTCGGAATTCCCGTTCGCTCCTCTCCCTATCCTCCGTAGACATTGCCTTTTGAGCCGCCGCCACGTAAATTTGCGCCAAAATGAATCTCTGTCCCCCCTTGTGCTCCCCTCCCTCTTGTATTCCCTTCTCCCCTCTCCTTTTTTTTTTTAATTTTATTTTAACCCTCCTGTTTTACCCTTATAAGGTTATTTATTTATTTAATGTTTTATGCTGGTTTGCATCCCTTTTCACTTTCTGCTGCGAGAAACAAAAAGGTTAATTACTTTGAAAGCGGATGCTGTCACCACTTACTGCAATCGATATAGTCCTGCTCCTTCTGCTATTCCCCTAGTTACTTGTCCTCACTTCCGTTACTTTTCCCCACTCCTATCCCTTCTTCCAATCCTCCCTTCGCTATACTTGTAACTAGTTTGACCCAAAAATTTCCTACCTCCCTAGCCCTTCTACCTCCCCTACCCACTTAGCTCTCTGATGTACCTTACACGATTACCCTCTAAATGGAGCTCAGTCCTTCCTCTCTCCTTAAAGCTTCCCTTCTCTATGGTAATAATGGGGACGAAACCCTAGGGTAAGTGAGGGTTGCCTTCACTCCTACCTTCCTGGAGCACCTCTCCCTTCTGCCTGCGCCTTACCCCTCTTGTACCTGATCGGCCGTTGCTGAAATCTCCCGGTGCAAGTTTGCTTCCTGCATTGTCGTCTTCATTGCCAACTTGCAGACTTCGCTTCTCTTCCCTCTTCTATTCCTCCCGTGTGTCTGATGCCAATGTCGTTAAGGATGATTCCTTGCGCGATGGCAGGGCACTCAGTCTCTCTTCACCCCTTGCGCGATGGCGGAGTGCTGACCCCTGGTGGCTTGCACGACGTCGGGGTGTGAATGCACTCTACGGCCCAATCCCCCCTCAGCACAGTGATGGTGGTCTCGGTTGCGTAACGTGATGGTGGGGTGCGGACCCACATGGCAACGCGGTCGGGATGCGGACCTTCGCGATGGCGCGGTCCCCCCTCGGCGCGATGGTGGTAGTGTTGCGGTCAACGGTGCGACGACCCTTGGCGCAGGTAGCGCGCTAACCCGGCGGCGCGAGCGGTCCTGGTTTGCTTTTTTCTGTTTTTTTGCTTTTGCAAAATTAAATCTGGAAACAATGTCCAGCATCCCTTACGTGATGAACCCACCCTGACACTTCTCTCTATTATGGCTGGGAGACTCTGATGGTGGCATTGATTACTTCCCCTTGGGAAGAATATACCTCCTCTCTACCCCTGCCTAGGTTAAGATCATGCTTTCCACGTCTATCATGTCTCTGCTAGTTCTCTCTCTCTCTCTCTCTCTCTCTCTCTCTCTCTCTCTCTCTCTCTCTCTCTCTCTC